TGTTCTTTTAATGTTTTCATAAGATTGTAGTTTGGCATTGTCACGACCCGAATCCCGGATCCATGACCGGCATATAGGCAAGGTTCCCCTCCAAAGTTCCGTACCTATGCGAACCCAAACTTACATACAAATTTATCGTAACTCAATCAGAGTTCAACGCAACATTAATAACAAAATCAATTTCATAATATAATTGAATTGTCTTAATACAAGAGTTATTATAATTTTATAGTTTTGGAGCACTAATTAGACATAAAGGAAAATGCACGGATTACAACCAAAAGAGCAGGTTCTGAAGGTCCAACAAAAGTGACCTGCTATCAAGCTATAAGCCTGAAAATGATAAATAATGAGAGTGTGAGTTTAACAACTCAGTGAGTAGATAACGTTCAATATACACACACGAGATAATACAATAATGAGAAATATATATACAAGTATGAATTTAGGTTCTTATAAAAAGGTTTCTCAAATAGGCCATAACAAGAATATCATATGGTAAAATCGTCAGAAAATCAAAATGCAATGAGCATGAGGCTCCGTACTGTGGGATGATCAGTCCACACAGGTTGGTGACTCTCCCGACCAACTAGGGTTCAGATACGATGTGCACAAATACTAACACTACCCTGTTAGCATGGGTATTCTGACTGACATACCATAGGGTCATAATCATACTCAAACAGACATATTAATATCTCAAGGCTCAACTCATGACATCAATCAAATGAGGAGCTATCAATTCAGAAGTCAATCCAAAATACATACTGGTTCATATCAAGAATTCAGATTCAACAAATGATCATGCTTATCATAACAAGGATAATAGTCACCATATATATTATCAAGAAGCATGATCCAATTCATATTAACAAATCAAATATTTATAATATTTCTCTTGCATATGGAAAATTATCCACTCACCTGACTCGAAGCAAACAAAAGTCAAAAGCAGACACTGGAGAAAATCCTACTAATGTCCCGCTAGTAAAATATCAGGATTATATGAATATAAAGAAAACATATTCAAGAATGACTCAAAAGAATATATAACCTATTTAATACACTTATTTAAGGATATATTCCATAACCCTATATATTTTTGAACTAACTAGTTATATTCCAAAAACTAAAAAATTAACACTTTTCTCAAAATCTAATTTATAATAAAACAAATAATAAAATTGGTAATACTTCACTAACTAACCCTCAAATTAATAGTTTTCTCAAAATCCAATCCATAATAAAATAAATAATAAAATTGGTAATACTTCACTAACTAACCCTCAATTATTCATCAAACCCATCTGAAAAATCTAATATTACAGTTAGGGACTAATCTGTAATTTTTTATATTTTTAAGGGTCAAATTGTAACTTTATCTATTTGGAGGACCAAACTAAAATTATCACAAATCCATGACTATACTGAAATCCTGACCATAATTAATCCTCATTTCTGTCCAGATCATCTCATTATACTCCAGGGACCCTTCTGGAATTTTATCAAATTTTTAGGGTTAAATGGTAATTTTTGTCAAATTGAAGGACCAAATTGAAAGTGTTAAAATTTCATAACCATACAGGAATTCTGCCCATAATTTATCTTTTATTCTGTTCAGAATCTCGGAATATGCCCCAGGGACCAATCTGTAAGTTTTCCAAAGTTTGGGGACTAAACTGTAATTTCCACAAATTGAAGGACCAAAATGAATTTTCGTCATCTTCAACCTCCAACCCAGAATTTCAACAGAAACCCACTGTTCTTTCCTTATTTCTAACATAATTTCACCATTCAAACAAAAACATAACTCAAAATCATCATTTTTATCTATAATCTCTCAAATTCAACTTAACAATCCATTACCCACAACAATCAACCCATAACATTCAACTTAATTCATCAATTAACCCAAAATACAAATTTTCAAAACCCTAACATTTATCAAAACCAAAATTAAAACTTAATCAACACATATTTATATATAATCTTACCTTTAAACTTATTTCCTTCAACGCCTTTCTATTTTTCTTCTAATTTCCCTCTTTTCTCTTCTTCTTCTTTCTCCCTTCTCTCTCTTGCCGATTTTCTCTCAATTTCAGATCATTTATTTTATTTTATTTTTTTTACTTTCTATTTATATTTATCAAGTTTTGTTGAATTACTACACTACCCCTCATTCATTTATACCTTTTTTATTTTTATTTTTATTTTCTATTTATATTTATCAAGTTTTGTTGAATTACTACACTACCCCTCATTCATTTATACCTACACTTTAAGCCACCAAGGGCTTTATTGTATTTTCCTACTCATTTATTCAAAACATCACAAATCATTTATTAACACCTGGTACTTTTCAGTTTGTTGTTCTTTTATTGTTTTTGTAAGATTGTAGTTTGAAATCTTATTTTGTTATGTAATTGTAGGTAAAGGTCTTCCAGACATCCTTCCAATTCTTAAACATTTTAAGAGTGCCTTTGATTGGGTAGAAGCCAACAATTCTGGACGTAAAATACCTCATGAAAGTGTCGATGTGGAGTATGATTCTGCTTGTGAAAGAGTTAAAGAGGTTGAATCTAGTTTGGCTAGACACCTGAAGGAACAACAGAAATTACTAGGGGACACATCAGTAAGATCCTGTCCTTAAATATTAGTCTTCTCTTAATTTGTTTCAGTAAATAACATGTTCTCTCATTACATGACCTATTTTACAGATTACTTATGTCACAGTTGGAAAAGAGGCATACCTGTTGGAAAAGAGGCATACCTGTTAGAAGTTCCTGAACATCTGCGTGGTAGTATTCCTCAAGATTATGAGCTGCGTTCATCCAAAAAGGTAAGTGATGCATATT